CCAAAAGCCTAGACTAATGGTTTCTTGGGTCCTTCATGTATATATGCCCCTCAAACAACCCATCCTTTTATGATGTGAGATGTTTTCCTCACATATAAATCCTCAACAGGTTGATAGTAATCAAAGTGAAGAAACAGTTGGTGCTTATTGCCAAGGATGCGGTGCGCGTGGCCAAGTGGTATCGGGTTCGAGTCCATGCTTCAACTGTGCAAAGTTGGAGTGCAACTATCACCTTCATCAGAAATGTGCCCGCGCACCCTTTTATATTGATAATCATCCTCTTCATCTCCAGCACTCGCCACTCGGGTTGGCGTTTTTATATATCTCGAGAACACAGCGTTAACAACTTGGAATCATTCGGTTTTTGGGAACTTACAGAGGAACATTGCAATTAAGAAGAAGAAATATGAGTTAGAGTTCTTGAATTCGTGATTTTATATAGTAGTTTATCTTTCAATAAAATACATAGTATTAAACTTGGAAAGTTAATAAAGTATATAATTAAATGTTAACCCTTAAAAGAAAAAATAAAATTTTAAAATTAAAAAGGGTATTTTAGATATTTTTACTGGTAAGTAAAACTTTTTTTGTTAAATAAAAAGTAACGTACTCATTTATCAAGACTAAAGTATAATGACACATATATTGAAACTTATACAAATCACAGTAGATTCAAGGTAATCTTCCTCATCAGCAAAACTTTGCAACTTATCTCCTGTGCCAAGAAACATGCTTCTTGTTTTGTGATTTGAACTGTCAGTCTTCTCATACATCTCTATCATGTCTATCACCCTCTCACTTTTGCTCCTATGGCTTTTTATAGGCGATGAATATGTGACTGATTTGAAATTCTCCACCAATAGCCATAAGTCATAAAACAAAGTGTGGTTCTTGATGCTAAGAAAAAAGTATATATTTCGCTCTTAATCTCAATACAAGTAACAATTCTCAATCTATTGTAAGATCAGATTAAATAAGAAACTGACTACGAAAACAAACTGAAACTAAAAAAACTGACTCAAACTCATTAGATTTAAAAGACCTAGACACTCAAACCCAATTGATCTACTGATCTAGGGAGTACTTTATTATAAAAAAAAAAGAAAAAAAAAGAAAAACGAAAACTAAACGAAGTATCCTCCTCCCCTCGGCAATAACGGCTAACTTAGATCAGGATAAAAAGAGGCATAGAGTGGGGCAGGATAATTTTTATTCAAATTGCATTGCATGATTTAATTTTATGAAAGGGCGGAGATCACTCAGAGACTAATTTATGGTTATTGGTTGGAGCTTAATAGGAAGACCCTCCTCTGGAATGGCAGAAGAAAGGTAGGAAATCTTCTCATTGGGATTCAACTTGTTCCATTTAAATTTGGTGACCAAGTTGTGAATAAAAGTGAGGATTTCCAATCGAGCATATTCCTTCCCTGGGCACATACGAGGACCTCCTCCAAATGGAACAAAGGTGTAGGGTGCTGGCCCATTTCCTTCAAACCTTGAGGGATCAAATTTCTCTGGCTCTGGGAAATAGGCAGGATTCTTGTTTGTTGAATGGACAGTCCACATGGCCTGATTATATCTCAAACAAATTATGATAAACCAAAAAAAAATCGTTAAGTATATATATTTAGGGTGATTATATGATACACCGGTGGTGTAAGTTTTGGACTCCACAAACGGGTTTTGGAGTTGACACATTTATTTTTTGAATTATTTAAGTTTTAAATATTTCAATCTAGTCTCTAAGGGACACATGTCACCCTTCAGAACCCGCTTGTGTAGTCTGCTAAACTCCACTGATGGTGTATTGTATAATTTGCCATTTAGCAGACTACACATGCGGATCATGAAAGCAGACATGTGTCCCTTAGGGGCTAGATTGAAATATTTAAAACTTAATCAATTCAAAAAATGGACATGTGTCAACTCCACAAGCCGCTTGTGGAGTCCAAAATTTACACCGCCGGTGTATCATATAATCACCCATATATATAACTGCTTGTGGACACATGTCTGCTTTCAGGATCCGCATGTGTAGTCTGCTAAACTCCACCGCCGGTGTATTGTATAATTTGCCTTTATATATATACATAAGAATGAGATTTATTTATTTTTTAAAGTTAAAACTAAGGGTATATGGAGTGTCAACTCAACTGTTTGGTGGTGGAAGCTAATAGTTAAGAGCAATTGGCAATTGGGCAATTGGGCAAAAGCAACATCGAACTTTGATAATGATGTTTTATTTTTGTTTTTGCTTTAATCAGATTTGAGTCACCTTCGAACTTTATTGTAACATATACTGTCAGTTTTGTGTATGTGCAAATTTTTTTTTGAAATGCTTATTCTCTCTGAGTTATTTCTTCCCCATGGACTCTTGGTGGAAGTATCTTTCTGCCCTGGTGCAGATATTCTTTTTCTTATCAAGACAACTGCTTATCAAATCCGGATTTTGAATTCTGATTATGATAACAATATTTTGAATTTCAAAAGTGATTGATTTATAATATTCATGCAGTTTCATTATCCCTCTATAATTCTTTTAAACTGGTGCTGGTGGAACTTGATTCTATTCTGTGTTCACTCGTCTCTATTATTCCATATTCCATCTCTTATTCATACTCTCTGTTCTTTTGCTATGGCATCGTCTTTGTCCAACATGTGCTCGCAATTGTCTCTCCAAGATGGGCAGCAGCCGAAAGTTGTCATTGCGGAAGAGCTGCTGGAGGAAAGTGATGTTGGCCAACTACCTTATTTTCTGATTGGGAAATATTTCTCTAAGAGAAGAGCAAATCTCGAAGGGATGAGAACTGCTCTCTTCAATGCATGGAAGCTGGAAATGGGGCTGGTTATTAAGGAGGTGGGGGAGAAATTATATATGTTCCAGTTCGAGGATAAGCCAGAAAGGGATCGTGTTCTTGTCACACAACCATGGCATTTTAACAGGATTCTTCTGGCTCTGCAGCCGTATGATGGAGTGGAGAAACCTGAGTCGATTGTGTTCGATACTTGCCCTTTTTGGGTTCGTATCTTTGATCTTCCTCCGATCATGATGACGGAGAAGGTAGGAGCGGCGGTAGGAGGAATTACGGACCTGTGTTGGAGGTTGATCATCAGTGGGGTAGCTTCATTCGTATCCGAGTTTTGGTTGATGTCACTAAGCCACTGGTGGACGGAACAGTGGTTGAATCTCCTTATGGGGAGAAGGAAGTGGAATTCAGATATGAGGACATGCCAGATATATGTCTGGTATGTGGCCAATTTGATTATCTCAGTGAGAACGATTGTCCTACAGCTATCGACATGCGACTTAACCAGGGTGTGGTGATTAAAAAATATTCAATTCGGATCAAAGCTGAGTCTCCCAGGTTCAAAACTAAACGATTTGAGGGGAATGATGGCAGCTTTCGACATGGAGGTTCATGTTCCCGGCGGCAACCATCTCTATCGGCACGAACAGGTCCGTCGAGGCAGCCTGTGGGAAGTGGACGTGTGGCTCAATTGTCATCGTCGGCAGCCGATAGCCGCCGACATATTCGGCCACACGTGGATAGCATGATTTTGAGAGGGAAGCAGGTGGCGCAAGCTTTGGCGTCCGAGGAGGTATCGTGTGAGATTGTTTCGCGAATTCCTCGGAGGGTTGTTGAGCAGAATTCGGTTGGGGAGAGATCTTCGGGGGCTGTTGAGAAGATCATGGAGGCTGCAGCTAATTTCGCTAAGGAGGTTGATGAACTTTATGGGGATTTAGGGTTACCCGCAAGTCAAGGAGCAGAAGTTGCTGTTGGCGGAAATCATGTTGAAGGAAGCGTGAATCGCAAGATCAGGGGAGGAACGGTTGATTCGGATTCTTCGGGTTTTGGAAATTTTGATGTGCGGTTTAATCCTAGGAGGCAGAGGCAGAAACAGATGGCAGCTAACCAAGGGACCGGGTCGAATTTACCAATACCAGGGCTTGGGCAATCAAGCAGGAGTCTAGGCCATGATGGATTTGGGCCTGACTTAATGGGTTTGGTGGGCAATTTGGTTGCTGGACCAAGCAAGAGTCCTATACAAACAAGTATGGTAAGTCCTCATGACATTAATAATGTAGGTTATGATCCGACTATGCCATCATTTGTCTTTGGCGCTGGGGCTTCTTCTTCTCCGAATAAGGTGCGTAAATGGAAAAAACAAGTTCGGGTTTCCAATAAGTACTCATTTGCAGCCATAAATCACCGCTCTTGTGCAAGGGTTGGGGATAAGAGAATTTCAGGGCAGCCTAATTTTGGAATGGATAACGGTGTTGTGGCGAAAAGAACAAGGGATGGAGGATCGGCTAATTTTGAAAGTGAAGCAATTGAGTGTGCTCGTGTGATGCGAGACATTGGTGCTGAAATCGTTGCTGCAAGAGAGGCTGCCTCTCCAAATGATGTTGGTAATGATGTTGATGCGGCTAGGACGGCTGAGGAGCGTCCTGGCCAAGACCAATGAGTTGCATGGCTTGGGATTGCCAGTGATTGGGGGGTTCTCGGGTAATTCATGTTTTAGTTCATTTAATAAAATGTAATAAACCCTCTATTTTGTTTTTGTTAGAAACGAAACGAAACAGTAATGAAATGGAATGGATTCGTTGTCGTTTGGGTTATGATGGTTGTTTTACAGTTAATTGTGTAGGCCGAGCTGGCGGTTTAGCTTTGCTTTGGCAAAATACTATTTCTGTTAATATTGTTTCTTATTCACTTTCACATATTGATGCTTATGTTAGTAATTTTTTAAATGTGAATTGGCGATTTACTGGATTTTATGGTCGTCCGGAAACAAGTCGGAGACGGGAATCATGGGATTTACTGAAATTATTGTCTTCTCAATCCACTTTGCCGTTGATGTGTCTTGGAGATTTCAATGAGATTTTATCTAATGATGAGAAAATTGGAGGAGCGATACGATCTCAATGACAGATGCAGCAATTTCGAGATGTAATTGAAGTTTGTCGATTCCAGGAATTACCAATTCAAGGGCCGAAAATGACTTGGTCTAGGCGGATGCGAGATGGAATGGTTTTTGAAAAGCTGGATAGATGCCTTGTGACAGAAAGTTGGTTTCATCTTTTTACATTTTCTTTTATTAGAGTGTTGATTAAACCGGGTTCAGATCACTTACCCTTGTTAGTGCATGTGCTGAATAAACCACATAAGGAAATTCGGAATTGTAAACAATTTAGATTTGAGCATATGTGGGTGGCACATGAAGAGTCTAGTGCTGTGATAGAAGAGAGTTGGAATCGGGATGAAGAAGCAAATGTTCAACAATGCATTGTTAATTGTGGTCAAGCTTTAGAAAATTGGGATGTCACGGTATTTGGTAATGTTCGCTATGGTATTCAGAGGAAGAAGAAAGAACTTGAGCAAGCATACATCACGGCGCAAGTAACTGGGGTCTCACGACAATTGCATGACTGTTTAGATGAGTTTAATGATTTATATGATCGTGAGGAGATTATGTGGAGACAAAGATCGAAAGTTTCTTGGCTGCGAGAAGGAGATAGAAATTCGAGGTTCTTTCACTCAGTTGTCAATACCCGAAAGGCTAAAAATAATATTGCTTCCATTCAGGACGATGGTGGAAATTGGCATTCTGAGATCAAAACAGTTGAAAAAGTGGTGGTTGATTATTTTAAGCAGATTTTTATTACTTCGAATCCACTGCATTCAGATATTGAGCACGTATTGGGAACAGTAGATCAGAGAGTCACGGCAGAGATGAATGCTAAGTTGAATAGACCCTTTACAGTGGAGGACATCAGAGTTGCAGCTTTTGATATGGGAGCAGACAAATCACCAGGTCCAGATGGCATGACTCCGTTGTTTTATCAACAATATTGGCATATTGTTGGGGAAAAGGCTAGTGAGATGGCGTTGGCTTTTCTGAATTTACGACAAGCTTTGCCTGATATTAATCATACTAGTGTTGTGTTGATTCCGAAAAATGAGCATCCTTGTATGGTTAAGGATTACCGTCCAATTAGTTTGTGTAATGTAGTGTTTAAAATTGTTTCAAAAGCATTAGCTAATCGTTTAGGAGAAATCTTGCCGGAGGTTATTGGACCGAATCAGAGTGCATTTGTTCCGGGACGTATGATTTTTGATAGTTCTTTTATTGTTTTTGAGACGATTCACTATATGAAGAATAAACGTGCTGGAGGGGCGAATCATATGGCGCTTAAGCTCGATCTAAGTAAGGCCTATGATCGTGTGGAATGGGCCTTTTTAGAAGGAATGATGCTTCGTTTGGGATTTTCACAGCAATGGACTTCTTTGGTTATGTCGTGTGTGACAACAGTTTCCTATTCAATCATGGTAAATGGGACGAATACAGAAAAATTTAGTCCATCTAGAGGAATCAGGCAAGGAGATCCATTATCTCCTTATTTATTCCTTTTTTGTATGGAAGGACTATCTTGTTTATTACAGAGGGCGGAACTAGATGGTCATATTAGGGGTGTTGCAATTAACAGATATGCTCCTACAATTTCACATTTGTTTTTTGTCGACGACAGTATTTTATTTTTAAGGGCATCTCTTCGTGAATGTGATGTTGTTCTTGATTTGCTCCGTCAGTTCTCTCTAGCTTCAGGACAACAGGTTAATGTTGATAAATCGGCTATACTCTTTAGTTCCAACACACCTGTGTGTTTGCGGGAGTCTATTATGCAGCATTTAGGTGTTCAAAAGATACTGGATCGAGATCGCTATTTGGGTATACCGATTATGATTGATAAATCCAAGAAAGCTGAGTTACAACTCATCAAGGATCGATTATGGAAGCGTCTTCAACGATGGAAAGGTAGTCTATTGTCTATTGCAGGTAGAGCTGTAATGATACAGGCTGTTGCCCAGGCAATTTCGACATATCTTATGAGTTGTTTTCGTTTTCCGAAGACATTTATTCATGAGTTGAATATGTTAATTGCCAAGTTTTGGTGGGGTACTACTGATACTAAGCGGAAGATCCATTGGAAGTCATGGGATTCGTTATGTGTTTCTAAGCTGGACGGAGGATTGGGCTTTCGAGCTTTTGAATCGTTCAATCTGGCGTTATTGGCGGCTTATTCATAATGAAAACTCTCTTTGTTCGCGAGTATTGAAGGCGAAGTATTATAAAAATACTTCATTTATGCAGGCAACTTTGGAGGGAATCCTTCTTTTGTTTGGCGGAGTTTATTAGCTAGACGAGAAGTGATTCGTAAGGGATCTCGTTGGAGAATGTGAAACGGTATGTGTGTTGATATTTGGAGTGATAAATGGGTGCCAAAACCACAGACTTTTCAACCTAGAGCGAGACTTGGGACTTTTATTCAGCCTACTCCAGTCTCGGCCATGTTGGACAACAATGGTTATTGGGATGCTGATTTATTGAATGAATTATTCGAAGCAGATGACACAGCCTGTATTCTATGTATTCCCTTGCATTTGTCAGGTACAGATACTTTGATATGGAACTCAACGGTGAATGGAAGCTATACGGTACGTAGTGGATATTATGTGGCCCGAAGTTTATTGGGACACGATGATATACACGTTGATGATCGTTCACCAGTCTGGAGACTTATTTGGAGTGCTCATGTATTGCCTAAGGTAAAGTATTTCTTTTGGCGAGTTATTCAGGATATTCTGCCCACTAAGCCACAATTACAGCGACGAGGAGTTCCAATAGATTTGAATTGTGTTGTTTGTGGTGGAAATGAATCTTCTCTTTATCATGTCTTTTTTGAGTGCACTTTTAGTAGGCAGGTATGGGTTATTGCTTGTCCCTGGTTACCTGTATATCTAGAATCCTAGTATGTAAGAGAAGATTTTTGGCTATGTCTCTTTGAAAAAGCAAATCAATTGGGTTCTTTAGATATGGTGTGTTTTCTACTATGGTTGATTTGGGCGAACCGGAATAAGACTTTACACGAGCATGTATGTCGATTGCCTTCTGCTGTATGTACTGCTGCAAATCGTTTAACCAGTGAGTATGGAGCCTCATTCCGACGGGATCGTCAGTCACAAACTATTGTACGGCAGCAATGGACACCTCCAACACAAGGACGGGTAAAGATCAACACAGATGCAGCTTTTAGTCAACACCGACAGGAAGCAGCTTTGGGTGTTGTTTTTCGTGATACGGATGGCCATGTTTTGCTATCCGGTATAACGAGAATTACCAATGTGCCTAATAGTCTATTTGCTGAGATGTACACAATTCGTTTTGGGTTATTGTTAGCTCTTTCTTATAGTTTTGTTACTTGTGAAGTGGAGAGTGATAGCTTATTGGCTAATATAGAACTAAATAGGCAAACACCTTCATTATGGGAAGGTGGTTCTTTAATTTTGCAGATTAAGCACATTGTATCTAGTTTTGATTTTTGTTCTTTTAAACATGTAAGTAGGGTAGCGAATACTTTGGCTCATAATCTAGCCCATCTTGATTGTGATGTAGGGGCTAATTATGTCTGATGCGGATTACCTCTGCACGTTTGTAATTCTGACTATTGATATCAATGAAAATTGATCATTTTGCTCAAAAAAAAAAAAAAAACCTAAGGGTATCATTCTTTTTATATTTAATATTAATCAAGCATATCTATACTATATATATCTATACTATATATAAAAGTACGAGTTTTGAGTAAACTTTTGAATCGACCATTGTACCCTTACTTTTTTTTAATATATCTCTTAAATACCCTTACTTAAACTATTGTAGTTTTATTCAACTAAAAACTCTATTTTTATTTAATTATTAAATCTAATTTCTTTATTTTTACTATTTTACTATTTTTAATAAAAATTGGATTTATTAAAATTTTAATATACAGTTTTATTCTACCAAAAAACTCTATTTTCATTTAATTAAATTCAATATTTTATAATTATTTTATTTTTACCATTTTAATTTAAAAGGTTATTGTGATTGACATGATCAATTTGATAGTTTAATATATTATGATTAAAATTTATTATTTCCTTAGAATGCAATTATTTTATTTGATTTATAATTAATTTTTTACTAGATAAATGTAACCCTTACTGTAGGTTTAAATTTAAAAGGGTTGGATTGGATTCGAATCGCTCAAATGTCGGGTCATTTGGCTTTGGATCAATTCTGGTTTGAGTCATTTTAAGTGTCGGTTCATATGGTTCAGATGATTTCAGGTTTGAGCTTTGGATTTTCGGGTTCGGTTCTTTTTGGATTCGGATCATTTAAATATAATTAATTTCAATTCGGATTAATCTCTCGGGGTTGATCGGGTTCAGGGTAATTTTGGTTTGGGTCGTTTCAGGTTCGGATCCATTAAGGATTCGGGTCATTTCGGTTTCAGGATTGAGCGGATTTTTTGGTCAAATAAGGTCGGATCAATAGTTTGGTTTCGAGTACCGGCACTCGGGTCAAATTTTGCCAACTCTAATAGAATTCTTTAGAAATTAGTAGGTTGTTTAAAATTTTAATTTTCATTTAATTTAAACATATTGGGTCACGTGCAACGTGCAACGCACGTGGAAGTAATGACTAGTAAATATAAAAGTACGAGTTTTATAAAACATTTGAATTGATCATTATACCCTTATTTTTTTTAATATATTTCTAAAATGCTTTTGCTTAAACTATTGTAGTTTTATTCTATTTAAAACTCTATTTTTATTCAATTATTATTAAATCTAATATCTTTATAATTTCTTTATTTTTACCATTTTACTATTTTTCAATAAAAATTGGATATATTAAAATTTTTAATATACAGTTTTATTTTACTAAAAACTCTATTTTCATTTAATTGAATTCAATATTATATAATTATTTTATTTTTACCATTTTAATTTAAAAGATTATTGTGATTGACATGTTCTATTTGATAGTTTAATGTATTATTATGATTAAAATTTATTATTTCCCTAACGTACAATTATTTTATTTTAATCTCTCGGATTGATCTGATTCGGGTTGATGCAGGTTCGGGTCATTAAGAATTTGAGGTCGGGTCATTTCGGTTTCAGATTTAGCGGATTTTTTGGTCGAATCGGGTTGGATAAGGTTTGGTTTCAGGCGATCGAGTCGGATACCCGTACTCGAGTGAAATTTTGCCAGCTATAATAATAGGTTTCTTTAAGATAAAATTAGTAGTATACTTCAGATTAGTAGTATACTTCAGATTTTAATTTTAATTTAATTTAAACATATTAGGTCACATGCAAAGAACGTGAAAGTAATGGCTAGTATAGTTAAAGATCTCTCAGTATATATACATATAAATGCGCGCTTTGTATTTATTAATCTTACCTAATTGGGTATTAATTTTATTAGGATGATCCTAAAATGTAAGGTTTTTAGGATTCTATTAGATTGATGACACATAATCCTTTTTTAATCTCATTCAATGACTACAAAGTTTTATTCTACACCATCTCTCACCATATCCACTCTTTAATCTTATCTCTATTCTTTTTTATTTCTACAAATCTCTATTCTTTATCAAACTTAATAATATTAGACAAACTTGATAAATTATTATCTAAAAAAAATTACTTGATAAAATATTATAAATTACATTTCTTTCAAATTTCTGTTTTCATTTTTGAAAAATGGAAGTACGAAAAAAAAAAGTCCCCATCATCCACAAAAATGGAATACTCCACAATTTAAAAAAAAATCAATATATAGAAAAAAAACTTTTCAGTTTTCACAGTACAACTACATGTAGAGTGAATTAATTAAAATTTTTTGTCATATCAAGAATTTATTTTTAAGAAGGAAAGTTTTGTTGTTGTTGTTGTTGTTTTTTTTTTTTTTTCAATTTAGAGACATGAAAATAAGGAAAATCAATTTCTACAATTAAGGGATTAGATTTGATGAGGGTAGTGTGTAAAGTTAATGTTAAAATATTTGATTAAAAATAAATTATGTGATATCATTTGAATGGAATTCTAAATAGTGATGTTTTTAGGATCATCCTAAATATAATTTAAACTCTACCTAATGGTTTTTTTAGGGTAAAAATTATTTACCATCTCAACTAATCATTTGTTAGTTAAAAAAAGATGAGATTCCTTTTGAATAGTTAAAGTTGTAATTAGAAATTAAATTTGATAGATTTCAACGTTCTATCAACAACAGATCATTTTATATAGAGTTTAAATCCTATTAGGATCATCCTAAAATTGGGTGTTTTTAGGATTCCATTAGAATAATGCCACCTAATCAATTTTGAATAATCATCAAATCCAAATTTACACCCTACCACACCTAATTAAATTTTTATTAATTATCCTAACATAATTTTTTTGAGAGAATCTTAACATAATTTTAACCTTGGTTAAAATTGAATAATTTTATTAATAAATTTTATTTTTAACTTCTTTTTTTTTTTTACTTGCAATGTGACTTGTTTTTAATAAATTTTGTTTTTGCCTTATAACATAACTTTTTTTTTTTCAAATTAAGATTGGTTTTGGATGTGAAACAAGATTTTTTTTTTTCTTTACAAGTGGCAAATTAATTTAATTGGTTTAGAACAAATTCAAATATTAATTAATTTAATTGGTCATCATAATTTTATTCTTTTAATTAATATTTATTAATTAAAAGAAATTAAAAGTCTTAATTAGAGTTATATAAATGGGTGTGGATGGTTTAGAAAAAAAATGATTGATGATAATCTTCAAGAATAATCATAAATAATAAAATTTACTATTAAAAGTATATCCTTAAAGATGGAAAAAGAAATTTTTCTAATTATCCAATCTTAACTAGAATCAAGGGTGAATTAATGCAATTAATAAGAGTTTATATGGTAAATAAGGGTGTAAAATATATCTTGGTGGTGATTCAAAATTGATTAGGTGGCATCATCTTAATGGGATCCTAAAAAGACCCTTTTTAGAATGATCCTAATAGAATTTGCACCCTTTTATATATGTAATTGGTTGTTAGAATGATTGGATGTAACGTACCTTCCATCCCTTTGGAATGGTATAACCTGCAAAAGTAAAGTCAGTTTTGGCCTCTCTAAAAGCTCCATAAGCAGGTGGCGTCAATCTCATAGCTTCGCATACCACGCACCAAGTGTACCTCATCTTCTGAATATCTTCCCATCTCAATGATGCTCCAACCTCTTTGGACCTTACAACATCCATATGTTCTGCAATGAAAATATATTCATATTCATAACAAAAAAATCAAATTAATTAGAAAGAGAATTTTCCATTAATTATTACGTACGTACCTTGTAAGACTCTGTTATATATCTCAGGATAATCACAAAGATAGCTAATAGTGAAGGTGAGTACGGAACTTGTTGTGTCATAGCTTGCAATAAATAAGCCCACAAGGGTTTGAACAACTTCAATCTCAGTCAAACCCTCCATGAGTAAGCTATCAACCAAATCTGAAGCAAGTGTTTGAGTTTGAGCAGCAGCTTGAATATTTGCGAAAAGCTGATTTTTCTTGTTTGTAACGAGGGCCAGAAGTTGTTGGCGAATGAATGTTCCTGCCTTGATGGCGCGACGGAATGTTGTTCCGGGAAGATCAATGGGCAGGGAGACGAGACCAGCAGTGGCAAGAACGAAAGGCTTAGCCAAGTTTTCAACCTCTTGTTCATCATGAACGCTCATGAAGAGTCGACAAGCGAGTGCAAAAGTGTACTTCTTGGGATTGGGAGACCACCAATATTTGTGTAAATGCTCCTTTGCCATCAAATCCATAATGGGTATGTATTGCTTAAGGGAGTCTGGCTTGAGAATGGGAAGCACATTGGAGAGCAATAATTTATTGGAGTCTTGGTTAAAATTAGAATCTCCCGTGAAGGGCTTCACGATTCCCTTGGGCCACCAGGAGGTAACATATTTGTCTTGGCTAGTGAAGAGGAATTTGTTACCCGCAGCGCCGCAAAAGATGGCCATCTCCTCTCCCAACAATGATGTTCGGAATACATCTTCTGAATATTTGGCACTTCTATCTCTTATGAATTTTTCAGGACATCCCCATCTGGAAGCTGACGCGAAAGACAAGGTTTTGCCAATGTATGGAAGACCCTTTCTACCTGGAGGAAACTTCCCGGCGGCCGATTTGTACTTGTAAACCAAGTAGATGGCACCGACGGCGACGGAGACATGTAAAACTACCAGGTGGAGTAAGTATGGAATCAACCAATCAATATCCATCTCTTCTCTGTAGCCAAAGAAATGATGATGAGCACGTAGGCTTGGATAATGGGTTTTACATTTACTTGAATATATATAAATATATAGATATATAACCTGTTGCACCAAAAATCTTTTCGGAGAGTTTCTGCGAAAACTACTTAATGACAGCATATATAGGGGCGTGCCAGTCAATTTGCTGAAATTGACAAAGAGAAAATAAACAACAAGATCTGGTGCGTGTAGCAGCAAATTAAAAGATCAGAGCGATTTGTGGGGACTGGATCAAAGTCACACCGGAGCATTTAAATCATTGGATC